CAGGAAGAGGAGCGTAAAATGAATTGAAGAGACGGACATGACGTAAACGTTCTTTCACGCACATATGGACTTGGGAATTACGGTCTGAGTGAATGCTCCTGCTGCAGATGAGCCTTACATGCTCCCTTCCCTTCCTCCCACCCCTCCTACCCATTACCCTCCTCCTTATGGCAAAACACAGAGACACGCACCCATTGCGGTGCCTGGCATAGGCCGCGGCACACTCTACACGGAACACTAGGAAGGCTGATGGCCGTAAAGTCCCACCCGGTTAGTTTTTGTAAATACGGCAGGAGTAAAGAAAAGACATATAATTTATGTACACAGCGGGAGGGGAGAGGGCTTTAGGGTGCACACGTGAAGGATTCAATTTTTCGATGGGAAAAACTACCAGATGAGGACTGGAAGTATGATAGGGATATTATTTAATACCGCTCTTTTTTTTTTTACTCTCTCTCTCTCTTTTTCTTTTTCTTTTTCTTATATATTTCTCTCTTGTTTGCGAGGGTGGGGAGTTATGCGGATGCATGAATTTCTCCCTTTTATTTTCTCTTCTCTTTGTTTCAATGGAACGCATACATATGCGTACACGTGTACGGTGCGAGGGAGGGAGAAATTGATTTATCGGGGCCTCTAAAATTCCCGACGGCGCTGCCGCTTCTTCCTCTCATTCCTCGCGCCAAACTGAAAGTGCATCCGCCAGTGGGGCTGCCACCCATCCTGCTCTTGTAGCGGTTTGTGTGCGTATCTTCCGCGGCGTGTCACATGGCGTTGTCAACGTATACTGTGTAGGTTTTTCCGTGTGGGTGGATAAGCCGCTTCGTCCTCCTCTTTTTTTTCTCTTTCTCCTTCTAATGGACATGTGTATATGTGGCACCTTTGCTTTCATCTGGTGACAGGCATTGATATTTCGTGTATGTTGCTTGCTTATGTGCACACCTGTTTTCCTATTCATTCTTTGCAGAATTTCTTGTATTAGGGGACCCGTAGCTCTCTCTCTTTCTCTGTGTGTGTGTGTGTCTTGCCTTCAGTGGTGCGCAGCAGGAATAATAATGTATCGCCGCGTCCATGTCCACGCCGCCGCCCTGCAGGTGAGGGCTATATCGGAGTACAAGTTTGGACAGGCGCCTCTGACAAAACCATGGGGCAATGTCGTGCATTTTTCACCACCAGCACCGTCGAAGGCATTGGAAGCTCAGAAAGTGAAGGTGTCGCAGCTGCACAACGGTGCCCGCGTTATTACACAGCAACGCGAAGGAGCAATGGTATCGGTTGGTGCCTACATCCTTGCGGGGCCCGCGTACGACCCTGTGGGATGCCCGGGTGTGCACGGCCTTATGCACGTTGCCCTGACGACAAGCAATTACAACAACTCGCTCTTTCAGCTCGACCGCGGGATCCGAAGCACGGGGGCAGCATTTTCGCACTTTGAGAAGGACAAACACTTTATTGGCATTCGCCTGGACGCCCGCGCGGACATGTGGAAGAGCCAAAATACCGGCAAAAAGAATGATAAGAATTCCTTCACGTTGAATCTTGTGCAGGACACCATTTTCACCGCCATTGCCGCCCCGCGCTTTCATGAGGCAGACATTGAACGCTTTCGTGACACGGTGGATAATAATCTGAAGGAAATGAAGTGGCAGCAGCCCGAGGAGTACGTCATGCAGAAAGTGGAGACAGTTGCATTTCACAGGGAGCCGCTCGGCAATCCACGGCACGTGCCGGAAAACAACAATGGAAACATCACAAGCAAGATTCTGATGGAACATTATTCCCAATACGTGACACCCGAACGCGTCATTATTGCTGGTGTGAATGTTAACCATGATGAACTCATCGCCGAGTATGAAAATACACCGTATCCACATTCCAAAAGCGCCCCTCATCATGCTGCGTTTGAGAAACAAAACAGTGTGGCCGCCTTTGATATCAACGCCGAGAAAAATCAGTACACGGGCGGTGAGGCACATGAGCATGAAAATCGCGCCAAAGAAATGGGAACTAAGCCGGACATGGATAATGAAACAATTGTTGCGGTTGGTTACCTCTCATTTGGTCGTGGAATGGCCTCAATTAAGCGGTATGCCGCGGCCCTCGTGTATCAACAGCTATACAATGTTCTTATCCAAGATACTGTTCGTGGTGCATTTGGTGGGTCCAGCAATGGGATACATTCTTTCTACCTTCCGTACCAGAGCGCAGGTCTCATTGGTTTTACGGCAAGATCTGAACCTCAGGATATTGTCAAGATGGTGACAGCAGGCATGCGGGATATGCAATCCGTTAAGACTGATAATGCAACGGCTGTGGAGGCGGCAAAACACCGCGCTGCTGTCGATTTTATGAGCCGTAATTTGGAAACGGTTCGTGATCTCTGTGACTACCTGGGTACAAGTCTGCCCCTTACTTCCATGGCGCAGAACTCCACACAGTACATGAAACCAGAGGAGGTGATTGATGCAATTCGTTCTGTGACACCTGAAGAGTTGAAACAAGTGAAGGAATGCGCCATGGGTTCGAAGCCGTCTTTGTTTGGCCACGGTGAGATGTTGGCGTTCCCATCTTTGCGTCAGATGGGATTTTGATTGTGTGAGATTGAGTGTAGCAGCTAGTTAGCAATGAATATCAAAGGGAATAGATGGGTGGTGGCGGTGGGGGGAAAAAGGAGGGTGTTGTGCACACCCTTACATGTATTTGTGTGAATGTTGGGTGGATGTGTTGTTTTTTTTTTTGTGCCGGAAGGGCCATAAGGAGAGAATTCTAGAAATGTTGTGGATCAAGAGAGAGAGTATGCTTTGGATGAGCACGAGGTTGGACGAGATATGCATACGGAAATTTGTGAGCATGCAACATGAACATTGGAAGTATTATTATTTTATTTTATTTTTATTTTTTTTGCTTTCAAGGATAGAAGGGAAAAGCCTCACATCTTTCTCCTTTCTCTCTCTCTCTCTCTCTCTCTCTCTGTGTGTGTGTATATATGCATGTGTTTGGTGCAATTCTTTGCAAATTTAAGTCTTTTCTCACCCTTGTTCTTCTTTTTATGTACGATTCTTTTTTTTTTTTTTTTTTTTTTTTTTCTTTTTTCTAGTGGCTTCACGGCGGAAGAGGAGGACGAGGAGTAGGCATATTTAACCGTCTTCAAAGAAAAACGGAGGAATGGCGGCGCAGCGACGTGAAGACATCTCCGTTGCCTTTTGTAACTCTTCGTACCCAACGCCGTATGGCGACAATACGATTCCAGGCGATCATCCCGGCTGCCGTCATAAGCGCATGGGGAGACAGTATGCGCCGCTTCCGATCAACAAGAGTTCACTCACGACGAATCTTCACGTGCCGGGGTGTGGATTGGGTCGACACGGTCCAGTTTTACCCGCAGACATTAACAACCATATTCAGCACACGCTTCTCCTACGGGATACTCACAATAGCAACTACGTGTTGGACTCCGAGCGAGGCGGTAAACGGCACTTTGCGGAACAGCGTGGGAGTGAGCAACCATGGTCACCGTCGTTGCGTCGATTGGTTCCCATAACGTCAGGGGATGTTCCGCTTCTCCCGCAGCGCCGGGCTATCGGCGTATATAATCCGACGATGCCCGGGCCGGAATTGAAGAAATCGTTGGAGCAACGTGAGCGCGAGGCGGCTAGACAGCAGGTCGGGAAAGCACACGTCAATCGTCCGCCTGATCATCACCCGATAGATTTAGTTTTCTTTTATGTACCTGGAGACAGTGCACGCCTTCCTTCACAGGACGACACCCCGGCTGCTGCGGCTAGTCCTCCAATGGATGCTTCTCCCGCCCCTGCCTTACAAGATTTGGAGGGGGAGAAATGTCATGCTGAGGCTTCTGCCCCAGATGAGTCTTTGTTATTCTCCTGTCTGGCGTTTGCATCACCATCTATTGACGAGAGTCGGATGCGTGGTGCGTACCTGGGCACACGCCGTCCATCTATTAAAATTGCAGATAAGGGGAAAGGATCTACAATTGGTGAAATGCGTCGACAGGCAGAGGCAGCCCAGGCTCGGATGGAAGATATCCGCCTTGTGCAGCTTTTACCCAAGCTATGAGTATTTGAAGTGGGGTCACCGCTACTCGCACACGCAAACGCACACACACACACACACGCACGCACGCAAAGTGGCAATTTATTATTGATTTTGTATAGTTTCTTTTTAACTTTTAGATGCTGTGAGCTTAGATTCTCCAGACGAGTAGCTGAGGAGGAGGAGGAAGACGCTACCAGCAGTATGTATTATGTCTATTACCTGTGAGGAAATTGTTTTCTCATGTTTTCTTTTTCTTCTTGATATGCATTATAATGACAGTTTTGGACATCTCCCACGATTGGAGGATGTGTCGGCCTGTTTTTGTATTGGTGTGATGTCATTAATAGAGATGCTCTCACCTTCATTTTTTTTTTTTTTTTTTTGTAGTTTTCATTGTTATTATTTCTGGATTGCTTTCTTGTGTCACCTCTTTATCCCTCTCTTTCTCCCTCTCTCTCTCTCTTTCCTCTTCTTCTTCTGGAAGATATCAAGGGAATTTTGGCGTATTGACACGAAAACACATATTCGTGTCTCTCTTTGTGGACAAGAGGAAGCAGAGTAGATAGGCAGTGTGCGTGTGGCTGGGAAAGGGGGAAAATGCAGGTGAACGATGTCTCGACAACTCATGGCGTCTCTAGAGGCCGTGTTGGCCACTTGGGTCACGCTCTGAAGAGGCACGCATCCGGTGTGGGGAAGAGGGAGATTAGAGGAACGCAGGAGGCGGTGAACGTTTCCGCGACTTCCACCCCCGCTGCGGATGGGGGTTCGAATGCTTTGCACGGTGAAAATGCATCCTCACGTCCACCCCGAGTGGAGGAGGGGAATACGAGCTCGATGCGGGTGGAGCAGAACTCACTGGATGGGATACGCGGCTGCTCAATTCAACTAAGCCGTGAAGCGAGCCCAAGGACCGAATCGATGACGCACAGTTCTTTTGGCACTAAACGAAAGGGAAGCCCCGCATTGTTCATGCAGGCGGCATCCACGAATTCTTTTAGGAGGCGTGAAAAGTACTTGACGAATCGAGAATTGTATCTTCAACTTTGTTATGAGCAACAGATGCGGCGTCGTGACCCGAGAAATGGCCTTGACAGGAAGGGGGAGGACTACGTTTATTATAATCATCGAAGCAAGGGTTGCTACATCCCACGTGACCCTCCAAAGGACACCCTATTTCTCACATATAACCATATTTTTGAATACACAGATGGATCTCGGTTTAAGCGTGTTGGAGATGCAGAAACACCGCGGCCCAACCCCAGTATGCTGGAGACGCGGACAGGCTCACTCAATTCACTCAAGAGGGTGAGTCAGAAGGAGCTTGCCATGACTGCCTTCACTAAAGAAGGGTACTCCATTCCAGATCACAGTCTCTTCCCGAGCTCACCAGGAAGACCAAGATCTCAAAATTCAAGGACAATATCCGTTGATTTGGCGCGAAGCCTACATGTATCTGATCTGCGTATTCAACCTTTTCGGAAGCACGTCATCATTGAAGACGTCATCTCGAAGAATAGTCAACGAGTGTCAAAGGTGATGGATGGAGTCAGTAGTGTGGTGGCGAAGGGAAAGGTGAATTGGAATGACGTCCCAGCGAATCTCCGTCGTGCCCTCAGTGACGAGCAGGTCCGCCACGCCGCGACGCTTGAAAGTGACATGGCATCGGCTCTAACAACAGGATACCGCATGGATGGAACGGGATCCAGGCGATACATGACAGATGTCTATTCTTCTCCACTGAGCTTATTTGTTAGGGATGAACGAGTAGAGCCCCCCAGCACATTGCAACAAAATTCAAAACGTCAGCAAGTTGCCTTCACAGACCACGCTGACCGGGTGCTGCTGGGCTTTGCGGAGAATATTCGTTTGCCCGTGATGAACAGCGATGGCAGACCACCGTGTCAACTGATGTCTGTGCCTGAGGAAAACGACAAACCAGAGAGTAGGGAAGGAGGAATTGCTGGACCGGATTCATTATTTAACACGCCGCAATTACCAGGGGATGACAGCCCCGTCCAGGCTTTGCACTCATCTCCTCAAGGTGAAGAACGGTCGGTGCTTCTTCCTCCGGTGGTGATTGCGGCAATGCGGGATGCGGCGTGGTTTGACTTTGTCGGTTTGCGTAAATTACAATTCGATGAAACGCCGGCGCCGTGGTCCTCGCGGCTACCGGAGAAGCCGTTACCTTTTGAAACCTCACGCCTTCAGTACTGTCGGAATTATGACGTTGGAGATGCCAATCCCCCGCAGGCAATGATGCACTGGTCAAAGGCGCGAAAACTTCTGTAAGGAGTTGAGAAAAAAAAAAAAAAAAAAAAAGAGGTGGAGTTGAAGCGGTGGCTTCTCCTGTTTTCACGCATTGATGGAACTGCGTAGGAGGGAATGACCCCTCCCCTCTTCTCGAGAACAAAAAAGACGAAAAAATAAAACACAATAATGGTACCACCGGCAAAGAGAAATAAGAAGGGGCAAAAAAAGAAAAAAAAAAAACAGGAGATGGAAGCGATGTATAAAAATGGCCAGTACTGTTTTTCTTTTTTTTTTTTTTTTTATCTCCTGTTGTTGTTGTTGTTGTTGTTTTGTTTCCTTTTTGCGATGTCACATGAACGGAGCACCAAAAACCCGCAACACCGAACGGAATGGTGAAAGTGACAAGAGAAAAAATATATATTTTTATGTATAAATGTGTTTGGGAGTGCGCATCGTCTGCGTAGATTTTCCTTTTTTGTTGTTGTTTTTACCCCCCACCCCCCACCCCACCCTTCGCTTACGGCTTGTCAATGCATGTGCATTGGTATGTACATAACTTTGTTGCCAAAAATACGATTGTACTTGTCTTAAACCACTAGACCCACTTTTTGGTTTGTCTCTTTCTTTTATTTATTTTTATTTTTTTTATTTTTCTTTTTCTTTTCTGGCGTGTATGTGCAGAAATGCATTTTACCGTTCAGACGTTTTGTGTGTGTTTGTTTGTTTTCTTCTTTTTTTTTTCTTTTTTTATGTGTTGTCTTTGAAACACACGTCTTCTTTTTGTTGTTGTTGGGGCGTGTGTGAATGATCGGCTGCGTTACGGACTGCCCTTCTCTTCTCTTTTATTCCCTTCTCCCTCTCTCCCTCTCCCTCTCTCTCTGTATTTGGTCGGTTATTCGGCTGTGGTCATACGCACAGGGCAGGGGAGGGGGGCGGGGTGCAGAGTTGCCGTCATTTGGCGGCTAACATTTCATCACGCACGTACACACATCTTAGCAAGGAACGGTAAACGTAATTATAAGCAACACAGCAAAGATAGGGAAAAAAATAATAGCTTGCATACACTTGTTTTTTTGTTTGTTTGTTTGTTTGTTTGTTTTCTTGGAGAGAACACGAGAGAGAGAGGGAAGAAGGCTCATGGAAAAGGTGGATGTTGAGAAAACGCCCGCAAATATTAGGCACAATCAATTGATTTTGCTCCGATTACTTAGCGGTTTGCTTCTCAAGTGGCGAGAAATTGTGAAGGCGGCCAAGCAACACCCTGAGATTGCGCATTGTTTATTTGACACCCCCACAAGGGATGGTGATCCCTCGAAGATGACACAGTGGACATGCAAGACGGTGTCGAAGGAAGAACATCTACCAACTAGCGTTCAACACCGTACAGGAAAGGGGAAAAAAAAACATGCCGTTACTGCAGAGCCATGCACTCAAGGCGGTGAACACAAGGGTGAAGAGGGTGGCATACCATCAACACACCTTCATTCCCATGCATCAGCAGCATCTTCCTCACCTGAAGGGTTCATACATGACTTGTTGCCAGATATTGACTGGATACATGCGCTGCAAGGACAGTATGCATTGATCCCGCAGGAAAATGATTCCCCTATGGCTAAAAAGAGGCACAAGATGCACTGTCCCGAAGAAATACTGGATGATCATATGTTAGAAAACGTTATGAAGTCCGTTCGTACGGCTTTTAATGGAATGCGTGCCCTGCAATTGACGATGGAGCGGCGCAAGAAAGGTGTTGTGTCCACGAGTGTAGATGACACCGCGATTGCGTTCCAACGACATGGAAAAGGGATGACAATTGCCAGTGGTCTAGTGAGTCATACTTTGGTGGCTCAGTTTGTCCAGCTTTGTGTGACACACCACCGTGAACTTCGGGAAACATTGTTGAAACTGCATGGATCCCTTCTTAGACGTATGATGCACATTTTGAAGGAAGTAATATACGAGTTGCAAGGGATGAAACGTGGTCTGCGGGACTCGGTCGAGCTCTGCTCCATGCAGAAAAAACATATCCGCCGCCTCTCAACCGAATTGCACGGCGAAGAGCAAATGCGACCACCATCCCATGGCGCACGGCGTGCGTCTTCTTGTCATCCCCCTAACCCATTTGCTGCGAAAAGTAGTGACTGCACAGCTTTACAAATGGGAGCTTCTCGTACCACACAGCCCTCGCTTGGGGCTTCTTATTCCTTGCCTGAAACGCGAAGTTTACTTGAATACCGGTTGTTTATTCATGATGGGAAAAAGACATACGGGCGTCACGGAAAAAATGGAGGAGGAGGAGGAGGAGGAGGCGTTACGCAGCGAGAATGCCTGGAAAATTTAGTGGAATATGATTGGAACATCTCCCTGGGTACACAAGACACGTTGCGAACTGGCAGTGGTGACTGTAACTATGAAACGGTGGTGGGGCGCACTTCCAAGGCCTCTGGTTCACGACGGTCATCGCCGCTACCGTTTGGCTTGTCCCTCCCTTTGGAATCCGTCCAGCATTCCATAAACTTGGGGACCAAAACAGAAGAGATTCAGTTTGGCCTTGACTCAGAAGATGCGGAGAGGCACATTGCATTTGCCCACTCTTCTTCTTCGCCGCCAATATTCCAGGAACGCCTCCCAAATTCGCCGCGGGAACCACGTGCGTACAACATACCGCGTTTTGGCTTTGCTGTAGAGGCCAGGGAGGGATCGCCCGGATCTTCACTACATCTTGAGGTAGTTGACGTGGGGCATGCTTCACCTGCCTATTGGGCGCGTCTCGCTGTGGGCGATATCTTGATTGGAATAAACGGCGACGAAATCCCCTCCACAATCGACATGTGGGAAGGCTTTTTGGCACGTCTGTCGCTTGAAACGGGGAGTGGTTTGTCGCTGAAGGTGATATTTGGTGGTGGACGTGGCATCACCGCTCATTTGATCCTGCAGGACGTTTGTTCCACACGAAATCCAGTCGATAGCTGCTCTTTCCGCAAGAATGACTGCGACGCTTGCAGCGAGCGTTTCGAAAGGGTGAATTCACACAATATCAGCACCCACCAGCTTCCCGAGGTGTCTGCACTGGAGTCGACGGCATCATTATCGCCCACGCATCAATGTGGACGTGTTGTGCGTGTCTCCGGCAAAGTCATTCGATGGAGTAAGTAACTGAAACCGCTCATTGTGGAATCGGACTCAGCTGTAGCAAATGCGATAAAGAAAAAATTCTTCTTCTCCTTCTCTGCCTCAATCCCGGCCCACAACGAAGTTCTCGCCCGATGCAGTTTAAATAAAATTAGTGCTTTTTGTTTGCTTGTTTTATGTTTGTTTGTGTGCATTCCCTTTTTTTTGTTTGTTTGTTTGTTTGTTTGTTTGTTTCTTTTGGTACCCCTTTGGCGGTACGAATACGTACGTGCCACACGTATATGGGAATCATTGAACACACTTATTCATGCATTTAATGCACAAACACATACGCGGATGTGTTTTTTTTTTTTTTTTCTTTTTTTTTTTTTTTTTGTCTGGAGGTTAACTTCTCTTTTCCCTTCTACATGTGCGTGTGTCTGTTTTTATCCGATGCAATTGAGGGGAGGGGGGAGGCTTCTTCCTTCATTTGCAGGCACATGACGGCTTAGTTGTCAGGTGTTCTTTTTTTGTGTTTTTGGTGGTTGTTGTCTTTAGTATTATTATTATAACTGCTGGTGTTTTGTTTTGCTTGATTCTCTTTTAATCGTCGTTATTAATGCCCGAACTCTAACCCCTCTTCTCTCCCCTTCTCTCTGCCCGTCTCACTGGAAGGTACGAAACGATTAATAAATAAAAACAAACGGGAAAAAAAAAAAGGACGTGGCGCCACGTGAGGAAACAAAAATGGAAGGCGGGGAGTGGGGGAGGATGGAGTAAAGTGCGAGGGAGAAGGGAATAATGTCATCGTTGGAGGTGTTGCTTGTCGTTGGGGGGTGGGCAAAAATGAGGGAAATGAGGATAATTCATTGCGAACTACTTGCAAGGGTGGAATGTGCTCTGGTGTGCCTGCATGTATACATGCACGTTGATGGTGTGACACCGCATTACGCTATATTTTTATCCCCTTCTTTTTCTTTCTGTTTTTTTTTTTTTTTGTTTTGTTTTGTTTTGTTTTTTCTTTTTGCTACGTTTGCATGATGGATGCCCGTACGTCGATTTGCCCACATGTCTATATATTTATTTACTACATGTCTGTATGCTTTATGCAATGCCCCCTCTCCTCCACGTTGTGTTTGTTGAGGTGGTTATGCCACACTGTGTTTTGTGCATCTTCTTGTTGTTGTTGTTGTTTTTGTTTTTCGCCTTTGACTTGCCAGTAGGTGTGATGGCGCTACGGGTGGTAGGAGGGGAGGAAGAGGAGATGCCGAGCGCACGGGTGCTTGTGAATAACCAAAACACAGTCAGAGCCACCGTCACTCTCCCGAATTCACCGCCTCGTGCGCTGCAGAAGCGAGCAACGGGCGACAGTGCATACGCCCAGTTAAAGCGGGAAATTCGCCCCGCCACCGGGAGGACTAGGAAAGATTTCACGGGTTTCACTGAGACGAGCCCCTTGCTAAAAAATACAAAACATATACCCGGAATCTTGCGGGAGGACGTGCATCCACATCTGGATGATGTCTACCAACGCGTCATGCGTCGTCTGCAGAGAAAGGCAAATTACCAGGAGATTGGTGCCCCCCCTCTCGCTGTGCAGTTTGGGATCATTGACGATACAGACGAGGAGAGAAGCCGAGAGAAGAACGAATGGGACTCGGAAGATCCCCTCAACTCGGGTCAATCATTACTTTCATCCGGCACCGCAACCAAAAGTGGGAGTTCAAGGCACAAGCAGCTGGGACGAGGCATTCCACCATCGGCAGCGCTGGCTCAAGATGGGCATGAGGCGGAGGATGACGCCTTTTTCCTGTCGCAGCAGCCGTGCCCCAAGACACTGCGACTGGTTGTTGAGCACGTGACCGCCACCGTGACGGAGAAGCTACGACTTGCAGAGACGGGGTCGTTGAAGAATTGCCTTTGCTTAGTCTTTGAGAGCCGCGCGTTGTTGGAGCGCCTGCTGAAGGAAATTCCGTCCTACTCACAGTTTCAAGGGGAAGGGGAACGGCTACCGACAGCGGCGCAGTTGCAGGAAATGTATCAGGAGTTTAGGCGAAAGCCGGTGGTGCTGCCGACTGCACGGTTTGAAAAGGAACCTAACAACGGCCATGTTGTGGCCTCCCTCTTTGACAGCAGGACATGCCCTCTAAGCCCGATGCCTTCACACAGTGGTGAACAACCACTGCAGCAGAAAGAAGAACAAACGGAACTGGGCGTCTCACAAGAAACAACAACCGCCACGAAGACGGGCATCTCCATCTCATTTGATACTCCGAGTTGTCTTACCAGCGAGGAATCAAGGAAGGTAGCACTGTTGGGTGACGTTGCCATTGTGATTCCCCCGACGTATGCTCAAAGCTCGAGGAAGCTGCAGACGAGTTTCCGTCTTCGAAAGGCGGCTGGTGCGGGGTCTCGCGGCAATCTCCGCTTTTCGGGGAACGGAAGTTCCTTCACGAAGGCGGCATCAAATTCATTTGCGCGTGACAACCCTCTCGACACAAAACGGGTACAAGGGCCTGCTTTCTCGGGGAGAGTTGCCGATGATTCCGCCACAAACACGAGTTCTAATACTACTTCTACTACCGCTTCTATTACTGCTGCTTCTACTGCTCCTGGTGGTAGCAATGTTGCCGCGACGGAATTGGACGCGGACACACCGACTGCGGCAGCAAGGACCTCGCTCGCTGACACGGAAAGGAAGCAGCGTGCGACACGAATCTTCTCTGTGGGCACCCTCACCGAAATGAATAGCACATCCATTGTACATCGAGAGGAGTATGAACAGTTGCAGGCGTACACAAGAACCCTTCTTGTAGAAGTTGAGGAACGGAAACGGGAAATTCGCGAGCTTCAGGAGCAATTGAATGAGGAACTGGACTACACGACACAAAAGCGGAAGGTGATTCAATACCTGCGGGAGACACTTTACAAGGAGTGTAACGTTCTCCGCTCTCAACTCTCCGCGGCGCAGCAGAAACAGATCCACTACCAAAATCTCTTGAAGGAGCAGCAACAGGCCCTTGCACATGCCGCAACTGTCATGAATGCCGAAGTACGCAGCGCAACGAGCGTATCGACGTGCGAGGGGACACGCCTTCCAAACCTCAGTACGACACGTTTTAGCCCAAATGAGGTTCCCAGCATGGCGGTGTCCATTGGCGCTGGATTGCAGAGTTTTCGGCGTACCAACCCAAATGTCTCCGTTATTGGTGTGGGCCGTGGCAGCACGCATACGGAGGAAAATGACGATGGCAACGGCTCTGTTGTCGCAACGGGTGCGGCTGCGACGGTTGGAGGCCAACAGATCTCGATTGACATTACGGCGATTCAGAGTCTCTTGGATCTCGTTTTGCTGGCGGTGGAGAACGACCAGTTGATCCCGAGCGTTGCCACCCGAGGCGCCCATGCAAATTTGGGCAATATTGCCAATCTCATGGCAGAAGATCCACACCGCCGTGAGAAGAATATAAAGAAGGAGTTTGCGGAGATGCAGCGGCAGGCGAAGCAAAATTATTCAATTGGTCGGACGCAACTAACAGTGTTGCTTGCATTAAAGGAACAACAAATCAAAGATATGAAAAATTTTTCTGATGTACACTTCCTAAAGGGTTTTTGGAATGATAGGTGTAGTACGCTACGAGACGAGCTTCGACGTGTCCGTAGGGCCGTCCAGGAGGACTTGGAATCTCTTAGGCAGTTTGTCGTCGTGTCAATGGAAAGTATTGCCAGGCGTACGCATGTAGTGGATGCGAGCTTGACGGAGAACAATACCCTTTTCAATACACAGTCAGCATTGCGAGATGTCATTTTATCCGCCCAGTCCCTTTTACTGCCCATGTTAACGACAGAATATGAGCGTGGTTATCACCCATGGCCACTTAAGTTACGCAACACAGCAGACCCTTTTGCCCGTATGATTAAGGCACGGTACGGTGAGAAGCAGTTGTTGCTTTTGCGGGAAGAAATGAATGCACTAAGCAGCATCTACCTGGAGTTACATCATTACGTGATGAAGAATCTTGTGTCACCTGTCATAAAGCGACCGTTGCCGGGTAAAACTCTGTGGAACCTGTGTGCATTGTTGGCCATGAACAATTGCACTTCAGCCGAGGTTTGGATGCGGGTGCGGGAAAAGTACACACGGGATATGGCCCTCCGAAAGAATATTGCCGCATTAAACATGTCGATTCTAACTTTGATGTATCGCCAACGCATAGTAACGGAGCGCTCTACAGAAGCCATGCAACAAGCCGGCATGGACCCACGGCTCAGTGGTTTACCGGTCCAGCGCACAGTTAACATTATTGCGGAAAGACTGCACAGGGTGATTGCCGAACGCGCAACTCTACGAAAGCATCGGCAGGAAAATGCACGTGACGTTTATCGGATTTGGAAGAAGAGTCAGATTGACGTGTATGAGGGGTATACTCCGCCGAGCCAACCGCAACGACTTGTTCTGGCTGAGATGCACACCGATGCGCAGAGACCTCTGCTCGCGGTGCTCCCCACCTCTCATCGTGGTGAGAATAACTCTCTGGGGAATGCCTTCTTTTCTGCGAACAAAAGCGCCAACTTTTGGGATCACATGCTCTCCACAGAAAAGGAGGGAGAGAGGTCAACGGAGGAAGGAGACTCACCGATATCGGCACAATAATTACGGACACCACTGGAGGAAACTTTGGATGGTTTTTCCTCCAACACGAGGGAATCACCACCGTAAAAGAAGAAGGGGGGAAAAAAAAGGGGGGGTTAAGGGACCACATGACTTTTGGCAAGAGGGCTCTCTGAGAAAATATGAAGGGGGAGGTTTGTATGTTATGTAAAATTGAAACGATGTCAAAAAAAAACATTTGTTGTTGTTTGTGCTACTGGTGATGGTGGTGTGGAAATTTTTTCTTATTTCCATTCCATCATCTCTCTAAGGAGACGCTGTTTTGTTTTTGTTTTTGTTGTTTCTTCTCTTCTCTTTTTTTGGTGATTCACGTGTGCGTTGTGGGTGGTGCACTTTAATTGCTTTTTGTGTGGCGAAGTCACGTTTATAGCCGGCATTGTCAGGAGTGTTGGAAATGCGTAGGATCCCGTCCTTTTTTGAGGCGCCCGCCACTTTGGCTACCGCGATTTCGAGTAGGAGCCACCACTGCGGCGGCAGTTTTGGTGGAAATGATGGGCGGAGCAGCCGCACGGACGGCGGGGCCAATTATTCCCCCTGCTGCTCCACACATGGGATTCGGGGCCACCCTAACTTGGCCCTGCTTCCACACCCGACGCAGTTGGAGGCGTTGCCGTTCCGGAGCGAGCAGTGGCGTCGGGCAGTCTGTCAGTTGTACCGCGTCATCTTTAAACTGCACCGGTCACGCCTGCTTCCCGTGCAACGCGAGTTTGGTGACCGCTTTGTGCAGGTGGAGTTCCAGCGACACATGGATGCCACTGAGAAGCATGCGCGCATTTTTTACCAATCGTGGTACGGGTATGTGGCGCAGCTGGAGGCCGGCGAGACATCACGTGAGTTTACGGAGGAGGAACGAAGTCAATTGACGCCGGAGCAAAAAGAGACACTGCGTGAATTGCGAGGACACGTGATGCGGGTGCGTCAGACAGACCCGGACTTTGCGCTCTGATCCGAGAAGGGGGGAGAAAAAATATGGCATGTTCCTTCTATTCCTACTGTGGCAGAAGACACTCAACTCCACGTCTGATCCTTTTGCAATCACGTCACACCTTGCCTTCCCCCCAAACAACAACACCACACTTACGCTGACGGCAGTTGTCACACAGCCACCACTTTGTTCTTTTTCTTTCTTTCTTCTTGTTGTCGTTTTTGGCGGTGTTTATTCCGTAGTGAAGGGAAAAAGCAAATTTAAGGGAAGAAAAAAGGGGGGAGGGAAATCATAAAAGAGGGGAGACGGTCTGGAGCACGTGTGTTGAGGAAACGTGGGCGTGTAGAGGTGGAGAGGCAATCACCATCATCATCACACTCCCCCCGCACAGACGGCACCCTTCCCCCACCGTAAGGCGAAGGGGAAAACACAGAAAGGGGGAAAAAAAGAGAGAAAAAAGGAAGAAAAGCAAAAATGGACTTAAGAGTCGGGCGGCGGCGAACGACTTTGACGGGGCCTCAGTCCCCAAACACAACGAACGCTGGCGGCAGCACCAACAACAACTCCTGCGGTGTGGGTGGCGCCTTTTCATCGAACGGAGGCACTCACCAAAATTCCAACAATGGCGGCGGTCGCGCCAAACCGCGCCTGTTGCCGATGTCACGCAACAATAGTCTGTCGGCGCCGCCACCGCCGGCGTGGAAATCGACAGGACTGGCGTCTGGCACACACATCCGCAGGAGGCCACCGTCCGTCCCGGGACGGACAACCTCGCCGTTGCAAGCACGCCCCGCTCTCACACGGCTAAAGAAGGAGATTATTGAGCACCGATCCGATCCGTCTCCCGCTCCTTCACGTCCACCGCGCACGTTTACAAAACATTCGCTTGCGGCCTCACCGCCACTGCTTTCGCTGAACCCACTAACTGGACTGCGTGGCATGATGGACCACCAGCGTATCACGAGCGCATTTTATCATGGTAACGATAGAGGAAAGCTTTTCACACTGAACCGACCAGCAAAAACTAATCAAAGAAACCCCATTATTCCAGATTCTGGCACGGCGACGCCGAGCTCCCCGATATCAGGATCTCGTGGTGTTGGACGTCGCAACATTGTGCTGGATGTAAAACAAGGCTCCCGGCCAGTTACAGGACGGAAACATATGCTAGAGGCACTTCCGCAAGCAATTAGAACGGCCGCTGAAGACACAGTGCGTAGCTATAAGGAGTTGTGCGAAGCATTGGGACAAGCGCCACAAGATGCGTGGATTGACGCAGTATTAGAGGGTGTCAATAAGGCCGCGACTTCGTCCTGTACAACATGTATTGGTGTTGGGTCTCCAGCTGAAGTGAAGTTTAATGCGAAGGAGCGCGAGAAGTTAGCCGCAACAGCGGGCATTTATCTTGATCACGGGCAAACAAAAAAAGTGGGAACTAAAACATGTCTCGCTAAAAGGCCGCGATCTGTAGAAGGGAAAGGAGGCGGTGTGACTCCAAATGTATGTGGGCATTCTGTTGCCACACGCGACCCCAGAGAATTACCCGCTGTCGACACGGATAAGGATTCTGCGGGTAAAGACACCATGTTGGATCGTATGGTGGTGTACTGCCAACACCTCCGACCGTATCAGCAGAAGATGGACGTACTGAGACAACGTAGAAAAGATGTTGAAGATGCCCTGGGACGGTTTTTGGCACTCTGCAAGAATTGTTCCGACCCCGGGGAAACCAGTTCTAAACTTGTTGCCGTGAACGCACTTGAATCACACGCGAACTTGCTTACAGATGGACTAAAGGACCTGCAAAGGTGCAATGTGGCCCTCTTGTTACGACTGAGGGAATATTCCCGTGAGGTGCGGAGACCGTTGGGATTGGTGGGTTGTGAACTGGAGACAAATGCCGTCGGACAGCAGCAGGTGGAGGAGAATTCGCCAGGAATGAAGGAAAATGAAAATATGACTTCACTGTTCAACGTGCCATGCACGGAGGATGTAGCATCTCAGAAGAAATCTATAAATTTTCCATCCACAAAAGATCCTCCCTATGCCTATTTGAATTTCCTGCGCGAGGAGGAGAGCCGCATCGTGCAGCAGCTAAATGAGGTGTGCTCGCGGGTCCGCGAGGCCCTGACAAACGGATTAACAGTTACAATTGCAGATGAGGCCATGCTGGAGACGCCGTTATTTCTGTCGTCAGCTACAACCGGCCACCCCCTGTCTTTTGAAAGGGAACATCAGCAGCAGCAGCAGCAGCAGCAGCAGCAGCAGCTCAAGAGGGTTACCGGCCAGGGCTTTTCTTCATGCAATCTGGTGGGTTCAGGAGCCACAGACAACAGCTGCCGTACCACCCCGCCTAATTCTGCCACCACTGAAGACGCGAACACTTGCGGGCCATTTGTGGGCGTTGCGCTGGTGGACTGGGTGTCGTTGGCGGACGACGACGATAACAATATTGACGATCACACCGGCAGCAACAATAGCAACAGCTGTTCTCACAAGCACGCCACTGGCAATCCGAAGCTGGTGTTGGGGGGCGGCAGAAAGTGTCTCTCATTTCATTCCCCTCCCAAAAGAAGAGCTGGCGGCAAGGTTGCCGTTCGGCGAACCAAATCGACATCCGCGCCTAACGCAACGCAGAAAAAGAAGAACGTGGGGAAGATGGCAATGATAACAAAAACGCCAACCACCACCACCACCACAACAACAACAACAACAACAGTGAAGCATAAGAAGAGCAAAACTTTATCGAAGACTGGTAGCACGTCGAGCGCCACGGAAGTTATTCTTGCAGTGCATATAAAGGAGGCGGAAGAAACATGGAGGGCCATCAAGGGGCTGGCAGGTGTGGGAGTTGCACGGGGCTCCTTTAAGAGGCAAATTATACGTACGGAATCAAAACAGAAAGGAGAAGAGAATAAAGATTTCACACCGGAATTAACACCGCAACATGAACAGCCTTCAGGAGCTAATTTATTCAGTTCAACGCCACCAAAGATTGAACTAGAGCATACTACTACAAACAAAATTTATGGTTTTTGTCCAGAAGACAAATTAGAGGAAGAAGCTGCGCAGGGGAAAACCTCTGGTGTCAGTTTAGCATCGGATGTGTCTAAATATAATGAAACGAATAAAAAGGAAACGGCGGAGGTTATTTGCCAGTTTTTCCGCCGCCACATGCAAGAGAAAAAACGCCAGATAAATGAACTGCAGCAGCTACAGATGTCGACTGGTGCATCATTATCATTGGAGCGAAGTGCCGTTTGTAAAGCGGAGTTTAATACAGATGTGGCGATGGCAACCCGCATTCAGTGTTGTTGGCGCCAACGTATGGCTCGAAGGATGCTGCAGCAGCGACGGGAACGAGTAGAAAAAGAGGCGCGGCAGCAGCAGAAGTGGCATATTGAAAATGTCATGGCGTTTCGAATTCAGCGTTTGTTTGCCAAAATCGTAGCGCGACGGCGTCTGCGTGAAGCGATACAGAGGCGGTGTGCTGCCTCAAAGGCCCTTAAAGTTGGCGCTAAAATGGCTGAAAACAACCGAACCGATGGGAACAATGAAAAGAGTTTGCGTCTGATGAAGTTACGAGAACGGTTCGAAGAGGCGCGTGAGAGACGCAGGAACCTTCTACGTTCTACCCCCGATGGCACGAACTCTTTTTCTGACGCCATTATCCATCCCCCCTGTAGTAGTAGTACTGGTAGTAGTCCGTTGGATAAGGCGTTGCCAATAGAAAAGCAGCCACCAGAGTTGGAGCCGCGACCAGAGAATGGGGTAACCGTAAAGGTCCCGCCGTTAGAACTTAAATCCAGTGGCATTTCAACCTTTGATATTGAGGGTTATCAACCAGAAACGGAAAACTTTAACGTCTGTATTTTGCATCGTCTACTACGTGCGCCGAAACCCCTTCTCTACATGACTCGTGTCTTGTGTGATGCGTATCCCACACAGCCGGTGTCCGCGCTGGCCTTTTTGAAGGCTGCGGAAGAGGCGAAGTATAAAGGGGGAGGCAGAAGCAGTAGCCATCAGCGGACAACACAAGAAAAAGAGGGAAAAAAGAAGGAAGGAGATAAAGAAGGAACGGAAGATAAAGTTCCTTCCAAACAGCAGGAGGAGGGTCAAGAAATCCGTGAGAAGAACGAAAAAGGAAGGAGCGAGCATCATCAACAGAAAATGAAGGATGAAAGTGAAATGCGGTGGGAGTTGCGTCCGTATCGCATGATTAGCCACGGCCTCATTGCTCGGAAGGCCGCCATGATAAACCGGGAAGACACCAAACACGTGTGTCCCTTTTCTGTCCGCATAAAGAGCTTTGTGGAGGAGAATGAAATGAAGCATGAGCAGCCAGTGGCAAAAGGCTTTCAACGGCCGTTTGAGCGTTGGGGAACCGCGCATGCTTTTCAGAGACGGGTTTTTAGTGCTGCCGCGGAATATGCGTGGAAACTTATCTTTAGTCATACGCCGCATGACGACTACAAACAACGAATGCTGAAGACGAAGGAGGAACAGGAAGCACGTCTCGAGCGTGTGGAACAAAGAAATCGTATGATTCTTGCCTGCTACTGCGTTCGCTCCGAGCGAGAATGGTTGAAGGAGGCATCAAAGGATCTTGGTTTTGTTGCGCGTATCTGGAACCCAAAGAAGTCGCTGGATCCTAATGATCCCGATTTTGAGCGGCATTGCCGTGAAACATACGAATTCGTGGAAGACTTCCTCTACCAATGTTTTCCGACTATCACAAATCTTGACGAGGCGCCTACATTCCTCATGGGCGCAGGTATTTTCTTTCTACTGAAGTCCATGCTTGCGTACAATAGGGAGAAGGAGGAGGAAGACGACAAGACTATGGGTGACGGGTTAGCCGTTTATGTAGACAAGATTGAAGGCCGACGAGCTGATCCCGAGAGTGCCGCCACCTCGTACCTGTCGGATCTTCTACTAGCCCCACAGCAACAGAGGGCGATTTCCACATGTGAGGTGTTGAACCTCCTTGACAACCTTACACTTTGGTGTCGTTTTCCAGAGCCAAGGAGGGCAGTCACCACCGTAAGTGGTCTTGGTAAAAAAAACGACGAGGTCAACAGGAATACCGCTCACGGTAGCATGGGTGATGATGTCGATTTCTCTGATACATGTGAGGGAATGTATGAACGGACGATACGATCAATTGAAACCACCACGCGGCTAAGCGACTTTGAGACAGTCTCCTTTACCACCTCGCATGGTGAAAGTAGCGTTAAAATGTCTGAAGACCGGCGCCCGCGTTTGCGGCAGGTGTTGCGCACGCCGCTTTTGAAGTCATCACCGGCCAAGCGTCTAGACGATGCGGCTTTTGATGCAAGGATTGCGCATAACACCAACAATAAAAATATCAATAATAAGAAGAAGAATGGTGTGGAGCTGGAGATTGTGTACCCGAAGGGATATCTTGTTGGTCTTAGCGAGCGGTTGATGCGTGCCATTCTTGGACTGAGGGTTGAATTGGAGGTCTGCGAGGACTTGGACGCCACAATTTAACAGAGAGAAGAAGAAACGCGGGTTATATGCCTGCTTTTGCGTGGCAAAGTGGTGGGAGGCAGAACATCATCATTGTGGATATGTGGGTGTGTGTGTGTGTGTGTGTGTGATTATGCATGTTTCTTTCCAGTGGAATGCGGGAGAATGAAAGATAAGTGTAGAGGTGGTGATGAGAAACCGTGAGCGGACAAAAAATAAACGGAAAAGGAAAATTGCGAGATAATACATACATATACATGTATACATATATATATATATTGTATTTATATATATATATATATATATATATATATTAAATTTTGCGATTTTCCCTATCCTTTCTACGCCATACGTCGATTTATGTTCTTGCTTTGTGTGAGTTTTGCTCTAAACTTGTTTGTTCCTTTTTTTTTTTTTTTCCATATTTATATTTACATATAAATATATAATTCTAAAATTGTGTTGTTTGACATTTTGGTTTGTTTGTTTGTTTGTTTGTTTTGGGGGAGGTGGGATTCAGAAACCTCTTTTTTCTTTTTTTTTTTTTTGTTGTTTGTTTGTTTGTTTTTTCTCAAGTGTGTGCATGCACATCGATGTGTATTTTAACAGAAAAAGAAGGAAAAGAAACGGCTGCTTTGGAGGTTCACGACTGACTGACTGAATGGGAGGGGAGGGGAGGGGAAGCGTGGATCCTCCTTCTGTTGGTGTCTAACAATAGAAGGAGAACATGCGGCACACATTTAACCAGAGGGAGGGAAAAAAGAAAAGTACTTAACAGCGGCGAACAAGTGGTGGAAGGGAGAGGGAAGGGGGCGGCTACACACATATTGATCCATTTATTTTTGCTTTTTAATTATGTGCGTAGATGATTGCCATCTGAATTGAGGGTGACGGGGGGGGGGGAAAAACGGTGTTGGGAAGTGTGTTTCCCGCCCATCCAGTGAAGCCGTAGAAGGAGGATAGAGCTGAAATTGTGTGCATGTGTGCCCGCATTGCCTTTGTTCCTCTCTCTCTCTCTCTCTCTCTCTCTCGGAATGCGCCTGTGGGAAGATGGCGACTGCCCGTGAAACGTGCTTTTGTTGTTGTTGTTAATATTTGTATATATATATATATATTTATGTTGGTTATTTGTGGTCTCCTTACTTTTTTTTTTCTTTCTTTTGTGTTTTATTATTATTATTATTGTTTCTCTCACCATTTTTGTTTTTAGGCCTCTTTTTATTTGTGCGTTTATGGGATGGCGATGTTTACAGCGCCGCGACACCCCATACGACCACGGCGGTGGCTCTGGCCAGAACTGCACGGCATGCTTTTGAGTGCTTATTTGGCATCGTTTCATGTACACATGTCTCTGTCGTTGTGTCTTTTACCGTTTCTTTCCTTTTTTTTGTGTGTGTGTGTGTTTTACTTACGCTCACACACACACCTTTTCTTTTTTTTTCTTTTCCTTTTTTTACTCCTTTTTGCTTGCCCTCGTTTGTTTGGCTTTGCCGACACATGTGCACAGGGAAGGCTGGATAAGTTTCTTTATTCCGCTCAAAGTGGCACCTCTCTTTTTTTTTTTTTTTTTTCTTTCTTTCTTTCTCTCTTCCTTTTCTCTTTTAGGAATAATTAATTGGCTGCCGCCGCCGCACCCAGTGGATTGGCAACTGTCTGCTTTGCCTCGTCGGTCTGTTGTTATTTCTGTGGTTTCCGTCGTCGTTTGGGACTCTCTCGGTTGATTCGGCGCCCCTGCCTTGCTTCATATAATTTTTGGCTTTGCCGTGCCCCTCGTCCGGGTGCAGTCGCAGTTTGATTCTTTTTGGTTTTTGTTTGTTTGTTTTTTTTTGTTTTCTTCGCGGGGAAGGAGTAAAAAGAGGGGGGGTGAGAAAACTCTTTCTTGCCTTTCTTTTTTCGCGCGCGTTTATTGCTTGCGGGTGAAGAAGGCATCGTCCTCGGCTGTCTTTTCCCCTCCCCCCCAATTGGTCCAAAGTGCAGTGAGTGACAAAATTGGGGAGAATTTCTTGGCTGGGCATCAACCACCCCCGCAGCGCGTCAGAAGTGTTGGTTTTGGTGGGGGGGTCACTTGCGTCCACTCTGCGTGTGTGTGTTTTGTGTTAAGTGAGGGAGGAGAGTTATTTACATGCGGGGGATGTGGCGGTTGACGCTACCACTTCGCACCTCTTCGTCCTCATTCTCCAACAGCCGGCGTCTTGTGGGACGCGAAACGGTCTTTTTGCCATGGAACGCGCGGCCGTGGCCCTCGTACGAGACACACGCCGACCAGTGGCGTTTTCTTGACCGCACTCTCTCCGCCGTTGTTGGCATGACACCAGCGGAGGTCTCGGCGAAGTCCTTGCGACTCTGCCCGCGACGTCTTCTGCAGGACATTGAGGACCCCGCGCTCATGCTGCAGCGGCGACGAGAGCGGGCACTGAAGCAGCAACAACAGGAACAGCAGCGGCGGCGGCGAAGGACGGAGGAACCTTCACTCAGCACATCGGCGGGGGCACGCACAAGCTGTGCCGTGACGACAAGCAACACCAACAAGGACAAGAGTGCGTGTGGCGTACTGGAGGAGAGAAGGAAAAGCACGGCTGTGGCCAAGTCGGCACCTGCGAGTATTCCTTTCCCTACAGTTGCTTCCCCCACAACCGGCCGCGGGAGCAATCGTGCTCGAAAGAAGAGGGAATTGGTGGACCCTCCTGTTGGGATGCCGGAGGACATTCCCGCATCGTCCTCATCCCCATCTGCAGCAGCTTCCCCACCAGCAGCAACAAGAACAACAACGGCAGCAGCAGTCTGTGTTCCTGCAACGGTGACTGCTCCGAAGACTTCTATTAATGCTTCTATTACCAACTTTGGGAATACTTCGGCCAATCGATCATCATCATCTTCTTCTTCTTCGGCACGTACTCCCGCAACAGCACTGGACACTAAGACGCCAGTGCGCCATCCACGCACCGAGAAGACCACAACCGCTGAAATGTTGGGAAAGGGAGAAAAGAGGAACATGAACAATGGCAACAAATTGATCCAGCATGAGTCTAAAATGTTAACAAGTACAGCCTCTATCGAGGCGATAAAAAATGAAGAGACGGAGGAGTCACGTATGGCAGCGAGGGAATTTGCGGATTTGAAGGAAAGCACCTCCATTTTGCACCCCCCGCTAAGAAAATTAAAACAGTCACGCAGTCAAGGCAAAGGAGGCAAGCGGGGTAATAAGTAACTTGTCTCACTAACAAAGGGGCAAAGTCTCCCATTGCGGATGATGATAAGGATTTGACAGGCGAGGTATGCAGGAAAAAGGCTCCTTTAGCTGAAGAGATACCAATACCAAGGTATAAACCCCTTGAAATGTAAGATGCATTGAAATATAGCATATACGTATACATACATGTATATACAAATATATATATATATATATATACACATATATACGCATCCGGATCTTAAAATGTATGTATATAAATATATATATACATACATACATATATATATATATATATATACTCATGCGTTAGTGATGGGTAATTCAAGGGTTGGGAGAGAGGGGGGTAAGTGGGGAAAAAGGGAGGGGGAAGGGGGAAGGGGAAATGTACAACAAATATTTGGCAAGAGAGCAGGTGAAATGAGAAGAAGATGTTCATATATACACATGCATATATATATACATGTATGTACATGTATGTATTTGTGTACAAAGGGAAGAACGTTGTCGAAGTAAATAAAATTTGGAAGGGAAACACTGAGTGTGTGTGTGTGTGTGTGCCTGTATGTCACAAAGAGGGGAGGAAGAAGAAAGAAAAAAAAAAAAAAACGAAAAAGGGAGAAAAGACGGAGGAATCCATTTTGGATGCTTGAATACGTATTTCAGTACCCGTTTTTTTTTTTGTTTTTTTTTGTTTTTTTGTTTTTTGTTTTTTGTTTTTGTTTTTGTTTCATTAGAACTCTTATAATCTTAGAAAATTTTCAAAGGAACAGCAACGAGAAAGCAAAAGGAAAAAAAAAAAAAAAAAAAAACCGAAAGAAAGATTAAATGCTTATGTGAGGGAAATTTGCGTGTGCCTTTTTTTTTGTTTTTTTGTTTTTTTTTTGTGGTGTGTGGGGACTTGAAAGGAAGCAACAGCCATGATCTTTTCTGCAGCAGCGCAAGAAGAAGACAAGAAGACACGAGGATGAAATATAAAAAAAAAAGGGGGGTTCCCAATTGTTGTTGTTTTTTTTTGTTTTAAAATGGCTGATTTTCTTCTTTCATATGTATGTATGTATGTACATGTATGTATGTAACCATGTATATGCATGGCTTTCCTTGATTGCCAGGCCCCCTCTTTTCATCCATTTATCCATCTTTTGGGGTGCATGTGTGTGTATGTGTCCTCTTTCTCCATCTCTCTCTTTTCTTTTTTTTTTTTTTTCTTTTTTTGCTGCTTCTTTGTTGGGCACTTTACGAGATCAGCAGTGTTTTCACGTGTGTAAATTCTTCCCCCACGTGCTCGCTTTGCTACCACCTTCCGTCCAGGTCTTAATGTTGTTGTTACTACTACTGTTGATGATAATTATTATTATTATTTGCTTATTTATTTACCACAATACGCTCTTTTGGCCGTGGCTGTTTTGTTTCTTTTCTTTTTTTCTTTTTTTCTTTTTTTTCTTTCTTGTAGCTGTTCTTGTTTGGCTTTTCTCTTCCCGTCTCCTTTTTTTGTTTGTTTGTTTTTTTGTTTGTGAGCGTTTCCCCCGCTGCCGGTGCGTTTGTTTTCTTTTTTACACACAAACACATACATACATACATATACACACACAAATGTATATGTGATGACGGGAGGGATGTGAACACGGAGGTGGTGGGGATTTCAGACAAACACAC